GCTGCAGCAGCTCCTTGGATGAGCTCGGCAGGCCGCCCAACACAGCCGCCAGCTGAGCAACGTTCTGCACCAAAGAACGGCCTCTCTTCCCCACTCCGCTTGCGGTGTTGCCGGCGTTCATTGGCGTCGTGTTGGGCGATGGTGTTATGCGCTTCCGCCGTGATCCATCACCCGACCGCCCCGCAGGACATGCCGTCCCCCACCATCTGCCCCATAAATTCTCTTCGTTCCCTGCGCCTGTCTCCGGGAGGGGTCTGCGGTGATATTTGAAGGATGGCAGCACACCCTCCACGCGAGCAAACGCAACCGCGCGCGAACTACAAGCCAGGCCCGCTTCACAGGGGGGGCTGAACGTGAGGGGGAAAAAGTCCAGCGACCCAGATGCCGCACTGTGCCCCGAGAGGTCCCTGGTAGGCCCACGTGTTTTCCCAGCTGCGCCGGGAAGCGGGGGCCCAAGCCATGTTACACCACGGCCGCTGCTGCATGCGTGAGCGCTCCTCTTTTGAAGGGGTGGGGGGTGGGGACCGGCTTTTCGAATGGGCGGAGGGTGTTTTCCACGCCGCTGCCAGTGATTCGGGTAAGTTTTGCGGCACCGTTTATGCCGCTTAACACCGCACTAACCCTTTTGGCGTTGATTTCTCCTAAAACCACGCGCCATTCCACTTCTTGTGGGTCGCCCATGTGTGTTTTGGAGAGGGTCCCCAAATCGACGATTAGGGGCTTTTTGTTGCGTGGGTGGTCTGCGAAAGTTCCCTTCTGAAGAAGCGCGATTTTGCCCCTACGACTGGCTTTCAACCAAGTCAACCTTCAAGTGACATGATCCGTTCGCGCGCCAGGGTGTCGCTGGCCATTTCAAGTCCCCGGCGCAATATGGGTCGTGCTTATTTTATGGGATCGCCGGCTGAAAACTTTCGGAGGACGGCAAGAATCATTTGCACCAGCGTTCGTCATGACCCTAACAGGCTCGGCGAAGTTCTTGTGTATTGAATCGTGCCGCTCTTGGCCGAATGAAGGCTTGCGATAAATAAGGGAACGATTAATTCCAGGAATCCCCAAGCCACACACTTCCGCAAACTCGCAAAAGCAGCGCATTATGGATACCCTTTGCTCTCATGCTGTGCGGCTTCGAAAGCGCATTGCACACCTGTTTGCCTCCGATGCGAGGGCCAAAACGTACGGGTCGTGGCTCGGGTCGGAAATGGTAGCGACGCTGTTCACCAATTGGGGGCAACTCTTGCGCAACATCGGTTCTCCCTCTTATTTTACGAGCCTGTGGTGCCAAAAAGGGGTTTATGCCTTGGTGATTCCACCCGTTCCCGCGCGGTAAAAAAACACCGCGTCCACATCCACCTCCGTGGTGGGTGCGAGGCGTGATGGTNCCTTGGTGATTCCACCCGTTCCCGCGCGGTAAAAAAACACCGCGTCCACATCCACCTCCGTGGTGGGTGCGAGGCGTGATGGTTTGGCCTTGCGTAAAATTTCTCGTTCCATACCGGTCTCGATGAAAGGATACCCATAGTCTGATGGTCCCAGAATTCATTGTTTCCAGGGTTGGTGCTCATTCTTTCCCGTTACGGAGGAGCGTGCGATATTCACAGGTTAGGTGCTGCTGTAATAGCCCAAATTTTTGCAGCCATAGCGCCGTGCTTTGCTCGGTGTGTGTGTTTGGGGGGTGATGTGCTTCTTCTTGGCTTTTTAAACCCCCGCATGGTGGGATCGCCTTTATCAAGGGTTCCCTCAACGTACCCCGTACATCTTGCAGCGGCACCCCTGGGTTACAGCTGTTGGCGTGCGGGGGTCGCAAATAGAGGCACAGCCTTCGCCCCAATTGAATCATCTCGGTGTTGGGCCCCGCCTCGTGTATGCCATGCGCCTGCGGTTGAAAACAGTCCCGTGCATTCGCTTGCGCTCGGGTATGTGTGGCCGGCGGCGGAACAATGGCCCGGAATGAGGCCAAAAAGTGTCCCGGTGTGGCGTTCGAGGGGGGGGGG